GATGATACCATCTTTGGCTAGAGTGGAAGGAAAATTAAAGGGTCTGCAGCTCTCGGAGGCGGAGAGGAAAGTGGTAAAAATCGGGAAAAATGCAAACTTCATGACAGTGGGCAAGCTCCAGGCAGTGGGGAAACTGTTGTCGGATAGACCGGCGAAAGCCGAACATCTAGGGAAGACTCTGGCTGGAGTCTGGTGCCCCTTCTCTGGTTTGGAGTGTAAAGATCTTGGTAAGAACCGGTTCTTGTTTTCTTTCCGTGAAGAAAAGGGGAAAAAGAAGGCAGTAGATAATGGACCGTGGTTTTTCAATAAAAGCTTGCTAGTGGTGGAAGATTTTGCACCAAATAAAACTATAGATGATTACCAATTTAAGATGATACCAATATGGGTTAGGCTATATGGTATTCCAATGGGGATGATGGATAGAGAAACAGGGGCTCTGATTGGGGAACAAATCGGAGAAGTATTAGATATGGATCTGGATGACAATGGCTTTGCATTTGGGCAATTTATGAGGATCAAAGTACGAATGGACATCACTGTACCACTGATGAGAGGAATTACCTTCGATGATGATGAGGATGAGCAGAACCAAAAAGATGAAAAAATGGTAAGAGGAGAAAATGGAAAAATGGAGGAGCAGAAGAAGATGGTTTCATTTGAATATGAACATTTACCGGACTTCTGCTACAATTGTGGGATCATTGGTCACGGCGAAAAAGCTTGCATAACGAGAGCCAGACGAGAAGGAGAGAGGCAATATGGTCCATGGTTGCGTGCAACAATCTACAAAGGGAGCTCCAGTGAAGAGAAAAGCAGGGGATCAAGTGATAAAGGCAGTTTTTGGAGAAGTAACAGTGCAGGAAGTAGCGGTAGTGGGCAGGGAAGTGATGGCCCATCATGGAGGAAAACTATATCAACTGGGGGAGATGATGACAGGGAAAAAAGAGATGTGAAGGAAGTCACAAGCCCTCAAAAATTTATACAAGAGGAGCAAACAGCGACAACAGGGAGTAAAAAGTTGATATTCGCTGTAGACGAACATAAAACACAAGCGAAGGCAGAGCAAAATATGACAGAGAAGCGCGCAGAGGAAAAGGAGGAGAACTTGGAGAAAACAGCAAAAGAGCCAATGAGAGTAGGGTCATCCTCAAGTGACATAGAACCTGATTACACACACCTAAAGCCAGATGTCAAAAAGATGAGAGGCACTTTCAAACGCAGAGAGAGGCAAGCAGAGGCAAAAACTCAAGAAATGTTGAAGTCACCACTAAAGAAAAGAGGGGCGGACCTCATGGAGATTGACGGGGAACATGATCTGGCGAAAAAAGTAAGGATGGAGGTTGAGAAAACAGATGGAGTGGTAGGGAAAGAAGCTCCAAACAAAGATAACTTAGACAAGGAAGCTGGGCTGCCAGGACAGCCCGGCAGGGAAAAATGAAACTCATTGCTTGGAACTGCCGGGGATTGGGTAACGGCCCGGCAGTCCGAGGGCTTCTGGAGATCCAGAAGCGGGAGGACCCAGATATTCTTTTCTTGTCCGAAACCAAACTGGATGAGAGGAGAATAAAGCATTTTAAATGGGTGTTGGGTATGAAGGAAATGGTAATAAAAGACTGTAAAGGAAAAAGTGGAGGGCTAGCAATGTTTTGGAAGGATACAGTGAAGGCTGAGCTTCACAATTTCTCCAAGTACCACATAGACATTGAGATAATTGAATACGATAATTTTAGATGGAGGTTTACAGGTATATATGGCGAACCAGCAAGTGACAAAAAGGAAAGGACCTTCAATTTGCTTCGGGATCTGAGTGCCCAGCTTGAAAGACCTTGGATTTGTGTTGGAGATTTTAATGAAATATTGTATGGCCATGAGAAAGAAGGTGGCCCCCCAAGAATTCAAGCCCACATGGACAAATTCAAAGAAACTCTTGAAGAATGTGGTTTGCAGGACCTGGGCTATGAGGGGGATATATTCACATGGAGAAATCATAGCCATTCGGCAGAAAAATACATTAAGGAGAGGCTGGATAGAGCTGTGGCAAATATGGAGTGGTGTGACCGTTTTCCTGGTTTCAAGGTAATAAATGGGGATCCCCGACATTCCGACCATCGACCAATCATAGTGGAAACTGAAGGAAGGTATTTTAAAAGCAGAAGAGGCACTCCACATTTCAGATTTGAAGCAAATTGGGTGGAAGAAGAGAACTGTGAAACCATCATAGAGAATGCCTGGAAGTTGACAATGGCACAAGGAACTAATAACATTATTCAAGGCCTTCAAAAGGTGGCTAGTGAGCTTCAAAACTGGAGTACAAATATCTTGGGCGATCTTGAAAAGAGGTTGAAGATTTTAAAGAGGGAGTTGGAGGAAGTCAGAAGAAGTGCAATATCCCCTCTACAAGTCTCTCGTGAATTGTTCCTACGTGAGAAGCTCGAGCGCCTGGAACATCAACGAGACCTTTATTGGAAGCAACGCTCACATGTCAATTGGCTTAAATCAGGTGACAAAAACACAAAGTATTTTCATGCCTTCGCCTCTGAAAGAAAGAAGAGAAATACAATCCGCCGGCTAAAAAATGATAGTGGGGACTGGGTAGAAGGCGATGAGAATTTAAAAAATCTAATCAATGACTACTTTGTGTCTCTGTTTACAGCCCAGGCAGAAGGAAGTAGCCAAGAAGCTTTAAGTTGCATAGGAAGAAGAGTGGACCAAAGCATGAACAATATTCTGTGCACTGAATTTTCTGAAGATGAGGTGAGAGCAGCCCTTGACGCAATAGGGGACTTGAAAGCACCAGGCCCTGATGGTATGCCGGCCCTATTTTACAAGCGCTACTGGCACATAGTAGGGGAGAAGATCACTCAAGAAGCTTTGCGGATACTGAGGGGAGGAGAGATGCCGATGGGGTGGAATGACACAATGGTGGTGCTTATTCCAAAAGTAAGCAGACCTGAGAGTTTGAAGGACCTCCGACCCATAAGCCTCTGCAACGTAGTCTATAAGATAGTTTCTAAAGTGCTGACCAATAGACTAAAGGTGATATTACCTGATATTATCTCTCCGAATCAAAGTGCTTTTGTTCCGGGGAGAATGATCTCGGATAACATCCTCTTGGCATATGAGCTGACTCATTTCTTGCAGAATAAAAGAAGAGGGAAAGCCAGCTTTGCAGCACTCAAACTCGACATGAGCAAGGCGTACGATCGAATTGAATGGACTTTCTTGAGGGACATGATGATAAAGATGGGGTTTAACTCTTCCTGGGTCAAGCTCATTATGAACTGCGTCACCACGGTTCGTTATCAAATAAAGGTGAATAATGATACTACGAATGTAATCATCCCAGGGAGAGGTCTCCGACAAGGAGACCCTCTATCTCCATATTTATTTCTTATTTGTGCTGAGGGCCTCTCATCAATGCTGCAGAAAGGAGGAACGTGGAAAAATAATAGGCATCAAAGTATGCAAAAGAGCTCCAAGCATTAATCATCTCCTCTTTGCAGATGATTCTTTACTGCTCTTCAAAGCTGAAAATAGGACTGCAATAGAGATAAATCATATCCTGGAGACATATGCTGGTTGCTCAGGTCAAGTAATCAATAAGGAGAAATCTGCCATAATGTTTAGCAAGAATACCCAGCATCAGCAGAAGAATATGATCATGTCAGCATTGCATATTACAAGGGAGGCAAGAACAGAGAAGTATTTAGGGCTGCCAGCGTACATAGGAAGATCAAAAGAAAAGGCATTTGCCTACCTCAAAGACAAAATTTGGAGGAAAGTTCAAGGATGGAAAGAAAAAATGCTCTCAACGGCGGGTAAAGAGATTCTAATAAAGGCCGTAGCCCAAGCAGTCCCGGTCTTTGCAATGGCATGTTTTGATCTGACCAAGACTTTATGTAACCAGATTAGTGAGATGATCTGCAGATACTGGTGGAGTAATATGGACAAAGAACATAAAATCCATTGGGTTAGTCGGGAACATATGATGCTGCCAAAGAAGGATGGAGGGCTAGGTTTCAGGGATCTCCATGTGTTTAACAGAGCCATGTTAGCGAGGCAAGCATGGAGGTTAGCAAATGCGCCCAACTCTCTTTGCGCTAGAGTTCTATCTGCGAAATACTACCCATCAGGTCAGATTATTAGAGCAGTGCCAAAGGATGGCATGTCTTATTCGTGGAGAAGCATCCTTAAAGGAGTTCAACTGCTAAGAGAAGGTGTAATCTGGAGAATAGGCAATGGTGAGAAGGTGAACATATGGAATGACCCATGGATCCCACGAGGTAAGAGTAGAAAACCTGCCACTCCCCAAAGAAGGAATGTCATCCTCCACAAAGTCTCAGAACTAATTAACCCAGTAGATGGTGATTGGGATGAAGACCTAATAAAACAAACGTTTAATGAGAAAGATGCAGAGGAAATTCTGCAAATACCAATCAGCGAAGGAAACGAGGACTGGCTTGCATGGCACTTTGATAAAAGGGGCTTATTCTCTGTGAAATCAGCTTATCGAGTGGCCATTGAAACAGATGCAAGGAAGTCTATCCATGGTATTGCTTCTGCATCTGGCACAACAGCTGACCACTTACCCTATGAGTGGGAGAAAATATGGAGGCTTCCGCTACCGGCAAAAATCTTGCACTTTTTATGGAGAATGGCAAGAAACAGTCTGCCATTGAGACAAAAACTAATTCAGCGAGGAGTTAAAGCAGACCCATGGTGCCCAGTATGCTTACGTACTGACGAGGATGGAGGGCACACCTTCTTCAAATGCAAACCAGTGAAGCACATATGGAGGACGGCTCAAATGGAGGATATAAGGGAAAATCTTAGCATTTGTTGTAGTCCGAAAGATGTGCTCATTCGAATTTTTGAGCTTGATCAGAGGAAGAGTGCAAGAGCAAGTATTCTTATGTGGCTTTGGTGGCACGAGAGAAATAAAGCTAATAAAGGAGAGGCTATAAGAAGTACAACTGAAATTCTAGAATCCCTCGAAAAGCATGATAGAGAATCTGACGAGTTTTTTAAGAGGAAATGTACTAAAAAAAACAACGACCAAGGATAGTTGTTGGAAACCGCCAGAGAAAAATTATGTAAAGATAAATATAGACGGAGCCTTCACAAAGGACACAAAGAAGGGAGGATGGGGTTTCATTATCAGAAACTCTAAAGGAGGAGTAGAAGCAGCAGGGGCAGGGAGATTGTCAAGACTCTCTGAGGCAATTCAAGCAGAAACAATTGCCCTGTTATATGCCGTGGAGAGAGCAAGTGAGTTGGGATGCAGGAATGTAATCTTCGAAACGGATGCATTGGTGCTGAAACAAGCTATTGACGGAGACGCCTACGATAATTCAGTTTTCGGTGCCCTGTTTCGAGAAGCAAAGTTTAAACTCTTGTACTATTTTCAGTCTGCTTTTATCAATTGGTGTCCCAGGTCCTGTAATGTAGCTGCCCATAAGCTAGCGTCATTTGGCGCGAGTTTGGTTGAGCCAGATATATGTATGTGGTTGTCAGATGTACCAAACTTTGTAACTGAAGCGGTTGCCAGCGATTTTGTTGGCCCGTATGTGTAATGAAGTAAGTTTTCCTTTCAAAAAAAAATTGTCATTGCCGCTATCAACATGAATGGTTGCAGCAATTCCCGTTGTAGGTCGTAGCAGAAGGCGATGAAGGTTGCAACACCGGGACTCGTCGGTTGTAGCTTTCCTGAGAATGATGAAAGGAGCAAGGGATGGCTGGGTTGCGTAAGGATGCAAAGAAGCAAAAGTCAAGAGGAAGAAGAAAAAAGCAAAGAAAAAAAAAGGTTGTGTGGGAGATATAAGAAAAGAGATATCTCGCTTGAGGCCCATGAACGCATCTGCCCAGTCGCTTCCGTGTAAAAAGGCTAGCAAGCAAGGGACGACTGGCCGAGCGCTCGGCCGGTCATCCAAAATATAAACAATCATGATGATCAACTTATCATCTTCCCATGGAGTATGTCTGTTCTGCAAAATTTATAAGCCTGGGAAACCGAAATGACAAATTTATATAGAGCTAATAGGTGAACGGTACCTTTTTTTAATAAGCTATGTTTAATTTTTTTTTCTTGAAATCTCATAGCATGGTTGATATATGTTTTGTTTACATTCTAAACTTTTTTCTAAACCCTTCACCCCTGCTCAGGCATTGGTTGGTGTGAAGTCGGAGGCAAATTTGATTGCACATTTGTTCACATTAGTTAGTGTGGGTTACAGGGATATTGTGATTGTGACATGTCCTCCTTCATTACCTATATTAAAGTTTGCCTTTCACGTGTACCATTTCTCATCGCAAACAACGAGAGCACGACAACAATTCTCTTTGGAGTTAGAAGATATGCACACATAAGAAAGAAGGTACAGCGAGCCGAAGGCATCTATGAAGACCGAACAGAAAAGTAGTGAAGGAAGATGAATACCATCATCAAACTTTATCTATTTGTGTTTCGGGTGCGACTTGCATGTGGATAAATGGACATGATGATCGCTAAGTATGTAGTGATGTGGGAGAAAGACATCAGAGTTTGTCAACGCATTTTAAATTTTTGAAAGAAAGATCAATTGGTTCAATACTTGTTCCGTAAGGTTCACACTAAGATTTTGATGGCATCAATATACACTTAGATTATTTTTCACATGTCTATGTGGTTCAAATTTCATTTGGTGGGCAAGCATGTACATATGGAACTATCTTCACTTTCTATATGTCATCATCAGATTTTAGTAAGAGTTCATGCATATTGTGTTTTCATCTTCCAAAACCACTATATTTTTGCTACGCTTGCTTTGACCAGAAAATGGCAAAATATGTTCATCTTAAGAAAATCATGGGAAGCATTTTTTTTAATGGCCTGATAGTCCAAAATCCAAATAGTTGATAAACACACACCTATATGAGCGTTGCCGATCGATAAAAATAACAAATGACAAGAATAGTAAGAGATTTTTTTTGCGAGAAGGCATAGTAAGAGTTAGCTTGTCATGTCATAATGAAACTGTATGGAGTGACATAGAGCGATGACACCAAAGCTAGAGCAAGGAGTAGACATAAAGTGATGACACCAAAGCTAGAGAAAGGAGTAGACCGAGATAAAAGAGGGTGAAGGGAGAGGCAATTTTGCCTTGTTGATGGGGTGCGAGAAATAAGACATGTGACCTTAAAATTAAGAACCAATGTTATAAGAGATAAAGCTGTCAGAACAAATACAACCAGAGCAACATTGTTATGTTATCCAACGCCAATTTTTTTTCTATACATATGAAATTTGACATGCATTATGTTTATATACATAACCAGTAAAAAATTCAAAAGCCCGTGGCAACGCACGGGCATTCTACTAGTCAATGATAGTAGCATACTTGAGAACCATCTTCTCCGCCCTGACAAACTTTCAAAGCTCCTCCTACAAATAAAATGCAAAGATATTAGCACTTAAAGTATCAACGAATATCATGAAGCATTGCCTCTAATAACACAGCTTGAAAGACAAAGCCTTGTTGAATGGTTGTTGCACGACATATCGAAGAGACTAACAAACTAAACTGAACTACAGTGCATCATTATAAGTTTTATTAAACAACATGAACAACTCATAGGAACAATGTACAAAGCTAGGGACACAGTAAAAATCTCGCGCACAAGAGTACATTAAACATAACCACTACACTCTTGAGATGGACCTCTCCTGATTTATCAAAGTCAAAATATCTATTTATTTTGTCCAATACTGCCGACAAGCTAAGCTAGATGGGGCTCTGGAATACCATGAAACATAAAATGTACAATGTCAAGTAATGCACATACATTTCCAGGTTCAACAATTAACCAGAGGCTCAATAGTAATCAACACATACATTTTCTCTTAAAAATCGTGGCAAAGAAATTGATGCCAAATTGCACACGGCAGTTTTGTGGGACTTATGAATTCATTTATCTCTGTACACAGGAGGGAAGAGACAATTTGTGCCCAGATTTTGTTTTCTTTTTCTGCTGAAAGTGTCATGCACATCATCGAAAATAAATTGTGTGGACACATCAATTACTTTTAAAGACAAACTATTGGAAGAGAACACATGTCTTCGGAGACTCGCAAAATTTAGAGCAGACCTTATAGAACATATATGGTGTTCTTGTTTCTATCTGTGCCTTCAAAATGACAAACCAAATGGACTGTGTCTTCGCTTTACCCTGAAATTGTGTAGCAAGGTTATTACATATTGTTAGTCACTTGAAGAATATGTACATCTAGTCCAGCTTACTTTTCTATATTTCTTGTGTGGGTTATGATACTCATCATCCGAGCAATCAGCCAAACCTGGAGCTTCACAGGAACAAAATAGTTACCATTGCCCATTATTTTACACCCTTTCCATGAATAAACCATAAATCCAGAGAGTATAGAAAAGATCGTCAGCACAATTTTCCTCCTACAAATTAACGAAGGGAATAAGAAATTGTGAAAAAATTAGCAGATAAAAAGAATTAACCGAGGGAGTATATTCAATCTATGGGGAGAGAAGGTTGGAAGGGGGATTCTGGAACATGACCTGTAGCTAGTTATCCTGACACCTGCAACCAATGATGGACATTAATTTATTTGCTGCAAACTGTCGTTGCCTCCACCCTCTCCTAAATCCCCTCATCTTCTTGCCCACCCCGCTGCCGCACCGTTCTTGCCATCTTGCGGCGCCACCTCGTTCTCCTTGCGGATCTCGCTGCCACCGATCCCTTGAAAAAATTCAGGCAAAGAAAGGCGTACATGGATGGATGGACCTGCTAGTCTACTCAGCCAGAGTAGACTGCTTGATTTGGCGTGGAACCGAATCCCACTCACGCCACAACAGGACCCAAAGCAGCAAAAGGCAGCAGAATCAATCGAGAGCATAACAAAGTTGATATAAATTACTCGTCGCATTACCCACCTTTTTTGGACGCCAAATCGAGCAAAGGAGGCGGCGGGGGAGAACTGGACCAGGCCCCCTAGGAGGCCCTCGAGTTGCCTCCACTTCATCTCCTCTCGCCGTCGCCGTCGTCGAATAGGCGCTGACTGGAGGAGACCCGAGTCGAGGCAGATCATATATCAAAGCCACCACTGCCAACTTACGCAACTACCAACATCTATCTTATTGAAACAGAAGAAATTTAGCTTAACTACATTATCTCACAATTTCATTAGAGGCTACAACAGCAGCAAGAAAGCATCATGGTTTAGGCTTCGCAACTACCAAAATGTGATCTCATGCGAAAAAAACGACAATAAATTGTTCGGCTTAGCATCATGTTTCAGCTTACACAACTACCAAAACATCAGGCTAAGCCATTGTCTTATAGTTTCAGGAAAAGGGACTACAAGGAAGTTCACCCATCAATGTGATTCAGATTCAACCTACCATAAGGTCAGAGAAGTTAATCATCGTCCGCGTTGGCTTCATCTGCTGCACTGTTTTAAATATGAGGGAAGGAAATTATCATCCACTAATAATCTAAATGAACTCTAGTACTGTATTATAAAGAACCAATTGAGACACACTCATGACAATCAAGCGTTCCTATGTCTGCAATGCACAAGATATATTGCATGTACATTCTTGCAGCACACACTATATAGTTGCTTCCTTAAACAAAAAATGTTAGCCCGTACAGCCATGCATCAAAATTGATAAATGTTCAGTTTTGATGAGGCATATATCACCTAAAGTACCAACAGTCTCCACCATCATCATCATGAGATCTATTATCGTTTGTAATTCATAGCTGATTTGAGAGAAGCATAGGATAAAATGAGGTAACAACAAGAGCTAGCAAATATAGTATATGTTCTGGCAATAGTACAGAAAACGCCAGAGTGCAAAAAATAGGACACCACACTGTTCCTGCTGGCCACAAAAGATGTAATTCCTGACTGTACTTATGCTAGGATCAGGATTAATTCACCCTGGTGCCCCCCCAAATAAGCTTGACAAGGTCTTCCCTAAGTTTGGTGAAACATCCCAAAACAAACCCCCAACTACCCAGCAGAAGAAAAAAGAACTATTGATTACACGAAGAGCATAAGAAGAAATATATCTTTTCCTACAGTCTGATTGGATTTCCAACACCTTGTAGTCACATACACAAAATAATCTGCACAATGAAAGATGAGATTATAGGGGCTAAATCAAACAGAGTAGTGGATGAGAAAAGAGCAAACTATTCAGGAAGAAGAGAAGAAGTAAGAGTACTGGTAATAGGTGGACTATTGTAGATTCATTCTCTGCATTACTGCTACTGCAAAATACGTTGATATACGAACATGCTAAAATACTGCAGTTTTTACAAAACTTTGTTGTCAAACAGTGTAAATCATGCTCAATTGTACTGGTAGCCAATATAGTCCACAAGACCCATGTCGTCAGAACTGAAGTTCTGAATTAACTATATTGTAATAGTCATCAAGCTGTAGCATTTCCTCCATATTTCAGCAATTCAACACACCATGTATTTATTTGTTTGAATATCATGTGAAATTAAACATGAATTCCTTCAATTCAGAAAATGAAACACAAGGTATGGAGAGATCAAGAATAAAAAATACCTGCAGGTTCTGAATTCTTTGCACATGCAGGCAAGGAGCTGGACACCCAAATTTGTGTCCTCGCCATATACCTGCGCGCAATACCTGATAAACATTCTTCTTAGATTAAGAATCGGTAAGCTATACAATTTTTTTTGTAGCACACAACTTTAGATCTGAAATTCAGTAGTAATAACTCATCTCCTTGTAGAACTCAACCACAGCAGACCAGAAGAGAAGGAAGGGAGATGCGATGTGTACCTGACATGAGGCAGCGACCGTGGCGAACAAATGGAGGCAGGACACCAGCATCTTGATGTTGCACGAGGTCTCAGGGGTTGCTGATGATATGCATCTGCTTGTGAATCCCCTGCTCCACGCCCTTGGCATCGCCCCCTGCTCCTCAACCCCTTGTGCCGCTCGTGTCCAGGCACATGGGAGAAGCTTGAGGTTGCCGCACGCCTGCTCGTCCCTCCCGCCGCCACCAGCAACCGGCGCCCATGAAAAGCGGCGGCGCTTCCCTCGCCCTCGAGCGTCCGCATCCGAGAGTCACTCCGCGTGGCAGGTTGAGACCCGTCGAGGCGAATACGGCTTGGGGAGGTGTTGGCGGCGGCAACCCTAGCGGCGGCGGCGGCGGCTGCAGTGGAAAGAACGAGAGAGATGGAAAGTTGCGTGCAATGGGAAGCAAACGCGAGGCGCTCTTCTCGTTCTCCTGTAATGTGGTGAGCCAACCAGGACCAAAAATGGAACAACACGAATACGCCAATACGGAACGAGCTTTTCCACACGATCCCTGGCGCCACGTGGCTATCGTGAGCGTTAGCTCTTGATGCACACCTTATTATTTTTGATAGTAAGCTTTCACGTGCAATGCACGTCTTGACTAATACAAGAATAATATAATCAGCAAATCAAATCATGAGACATTCAATTTAATACTCGCAATCATGCACACGTAATGTAAACCATGAAAAATATGAATTTAAGACCACTAACCCTAAACCCTAAACCCTAAACTCTAAACCCTAAAGTAAACAATTGCTCACAAAATAGACTATGAATAGGAATATAAGACATAAATGAATAAACAAGTATAAAAGCAATGCAAACACAAATTAAGGGCACATAATTATGAAAAAAAATGGAACACAATGTACAAGACAGCAATATCCAACCATGTTATGAAATGTATGGAGTAAGTTCAAACTTTGAGTGGTATCGTTTATTCCATGTCAATAATACATAAAAATACATCGGACAGAGAATACAGAAACCAAGCAAGAATTTTTTTCTATTGCGCCAGCCCAATAAATCCACTTGCGCGATACCATCCCATCTCCATTGAGATGCCTTCACCAAGATTATGATCTCTGCTTCGTCTTTATCCAGGGTCATTACTGAAAAGGTATTTAAGTTGTTCAATGATCATCACACAATATCAGAGATAAATAGTACTTTCATGGAGAAACAATTAAAAGAAAAGACACTTTGCTAGCGGTCTCGGAGTACCGTATACACAGTTGTACTGCCAGGGTAAGAAATGACAAAAACATAAAAAAAACTGATATTACATCATGCCCGTGCATTGCAACGGGACAAAGATTGCCTATTTAAATACCGAGACATTGATAAAAACATCATACAATTTATAAGCATGGGCTGGAGCAAAATATTCGATATAATAAGATAGTTCAGAGTTGTGAGAACAGTTGGATGTGATTCCACAACCAGCATAAAAGAGCAAAAAAAGATGCAGAAGCATTGAAACAAATTAAGACGACAAACATCCAGGTTCAATACAAACCTAAAAAGGTCCTTGGCTGAAAAGTCGAAACATATGCCAAGCGCCGACAAACATAGGGTTAAGTTCGTGCTGAAGTATACATGCGCTTTGTACTTGAGGCAAAATAAGACGATTTACCACTGGTTTTTCTAAGTTTGTTGTTTACGCTTTTTCTTCCATTTTTTGCTTTTGTTTTTCAGCAGGTTTTCTCGGTTCAGTGATTCTTTTATTTTCTTTGTTTCTCTTTGGTTTTCAATATTTCTTTTCTCAGTTTACACTAGGTTTTTTTTCTTTTATCTTCATTTTTCTCCGGTTTCATTTTTCCTTCTAATTTTACATTGGTTTTCTTTTGTTTTCTTTTGGATTTTATTGTTTTTATACACATTTTCGGTATCTACCTAATACATTATTCTAATACATGTCTAATATTTCTTAAATACAAGATTAACATTTTTTCAACATACATTACCATTTTTCAAATGCTTGATTAACATTATTCAAATACAATATTAACATTTTTCAAATACATGGCCAAAAAAATTATATATACACATTAACATTTTTCAAATGCTTGCGTAACTTTTCTCAAATATCAGATCTATATATTTTTAATACATGATCAACATTTTTTGTACACATTTAACATTTTTCAAATACTTGACTAATATTTTTCAAATACCGGATCTACATTTTTATAAAACATGCTCGACATTTTTTCTATAAGCATTTAACATTTATTAAATACTAGATCTATATTTTTTGCATGGTCAACATTTTTTCTATGCACATATGAGATTTTTCAAATACTTGTTCAACAAAATTTAAATGCTTTATTACCATTTTTAAAATATATGATCACATTTTTATATACGTGATAATATTTTATTTATGCATATTTAACATTTTTAAATGATTGGTTAACATTTTTCCAATGTTTTTCATAGAGTGATTTTTTATATTATATATATTAGAATATTGAAAGTATGAAGAAAAGTAAAAGGTAAATCAAAAAAGAAAAATAAAAGGGTTGTGGCCCCCCGCGCTCCTGGGCCGGCCCATCTCGCTCCCCTACAGTGAGCGTAGGTCTCGCTCAAAGCAAGATATAGGGGTGCCCGCTATATATCGCCTACTAGGAGTCAGAGTACCATCTCGCTTCTGGCGGCGTTTTACTGGGTTTTCTTTGTTCTTTTTTGTTTTACTTTTTCCTTCGTTTTTCTTTGGGTTTCCTCTGGTTTTTTTCTTTGGTTTTCTTCCATTTCCCTTTTTCTTTTCTGTTTCCTTTTTCCTCCTTGATTTTATATTTCTTTCTCGTTTTTTGTTTCTCTCTTCATTTTCACTGACTTTCTTCGGTTTTCTTCGGGCTCTCCCCCCCTTTTTTTAACACATGTCTACATTTCATATGTATTGTATATTTTTCGTATATATGAGGAACATTATTTACATGTTTATCAATTTTTAAACACATGATTTTCAACAATATAGCTATTACATAAAATTTTCTCTTCATGATCCACATGCATGCAAAGTTGACACTCTTCCGAAATAGTGGGGTTATCACAAAATAGAGTCATGATCTCTCCAAACCCACTTTTATCAAAATTTTCATAAGATTGAACATTATTCAAATATGTGGGATTTAAAGTTGACACTCTTTCAAACCCACTTTCAGTATTATTGCAAACATTATTATCAATCTCATACTCATCATGGGCTTAAATAAATTTTTTTAATTGTAAGAAGAATCACCCCAATCATGATCATTGCAACAAGTAGCGGACATAGCAAAACTAGCATCCCCAAGCTTAGGGTTTTGCATATCATTAACACAATTGTCATCAATAGTATTTATACTAATAGCATTGCAATCATGATTTTCATTCAAGGAGCTATCATGAATCACTTCATAAATTTCTTCTTTTAGCACTTCATCACAATTTTTAGATTCATGAATTTCAAGCAAAACTTCATAAAGATAATCTAGTGCACTCAGTTCACTAGCAATTGGTTCATCATAATTGGATCTCTTAAAAAGATTAGCAAGTGGATGAGGATTCATAAACTCTTTGCTTCTGATTTTCAATAAACACATAATTATACCAAGCAAACGAGCAAACAAACCAAGTAAGACATAAGGGCAAACAAAAAGACGAACGGAAGAAGGGCGAATAAAAAGGCAAATCTTTTTGAAAGTCGTTTTAGAAGTGGGGGAGAGGAAAACGAGAGGCGAATGGCGAATAATGTAATGCAAGAGATGAGAGTTTATGATGAATATTTGGTAGGCTTGGCGTAGATCTCCCCGGCAACGGCGCCAGAAATTCTTCCTCCTACTTCTTGAGCTTGCGTTAGCTTTTCCCTTGAAGAGAAAAGTGAAAGTGCAACTATCCCTGGGTGGTTTTGGTAATTCCTAACAATATATAGCTCATTGAGCTAATACTATTTTGAGATAAATATTTCAGGAAAGCTCAATGATTGGCATGGCATGGATTAGAAATGTGGACCCCTCAAAATGCTAAGGACAAAAGATTGGCTCAAGCTCTAAAGCTCAAGACTCTACATTTTACCTTTTAGTGATCCAAGATCACATTGAATCCATAGGAAAAGCCAATACTATTAAAAGGGGATGAGGTATTGCTTAATGGGTTACTTGCTCAAAATTCTTAGTGATATGCTCCAAAACCCTCAACCAATTTCTGATATCCACATATGTCCCAAACCAGAAGTCAAACTCGGCCCCACCGAAACTTTCTATCAGGCGCCATCGAGTTCAGTTGACATAGCCACTGCCACAAAACCCTAGTCTTTTCAGTCTCAACCGTAGGAATCTCGCTCTCACCGAGATGGGATTACAAACTCTCTGTTTCCCTTTGTAACGTTTCGGTCCAACCGAAATGAGCGATCGGTCCCACCGAGTTCGCAATGCAAACTCTGTGTTTCCCCTTCGTAATGTTTCAGTTTCACCGAGATGAGCGAATCGGTCCCACCGAGTTTGCCTGACGAACTCTCTGGTTAGCTTATTACAAAAATCGGTCCCACCGAGTTTGTGTAATCGGTCTCACCGAGATTACGTTATGCCCTAACCCTAATGAAATCGGTCTCACTGAGTTGACATGTAGGTCCCACCGAAAATCCTAACGTTCACATTTTGAACTAAGTCGGTCCAATCGAGTTTCATTATTTGGTTCCACCGAGTTTGGTGATTTGTGTGTAACGGTTAGATTTTGTGTGAAGGCTATATATACCCCTCCACCCACTCTTCATTCGTGGAGAGAGCTATCAAAACATGCCTACACTTCCATCATACATTTTCTGAGAGAGAACCACCTACTCATGTGTTGAGGTCAAGATATTCCATTCCAAACATATGAATCTTGATTTCTAGCCTTCTCCAAGTTGCTTTCCACTCAAATCATCTTTCCACCAAATCCAAATCTGTGTGAGAAGTTGAGTGTTGGGGAGACTATCATTTGAAGCACAAGAGCAAGGAGTTCATCATCAACACACCATCTATTACCTTTTGAAGAGTGGTGTCTCCTAGATTGGTTAGGTGTCACTTGGGAGCCTCCGTCAAGATTATGGAGTTGAACCAAGAAGTTTGTACGGGCAAGGA